CAAATTTTACAGTTTTTAATAATTTTTTTGGTGAAACAGAACACTTCTGTTTCAGCTTTACTTTTACAGTAATTTATTGCACTTTATGACAAGAAGCAAGAAATTTTAGGGAGACAGATTATCTGGCACCCAAAACAAATTAGCAGAAAGTTGAATACTTTGAAAAAACAAATCTCCTAAATAACGGTAAAAATCTGCCAGCAAGAGTTCCAGAAAAAACACCTTAAAAACAGTGAAATACTGTGACGTTCACAAACTGTATGAACAGCAAAAATCAAGGCAAATATGTGTAAAGTAATGATGTTTTCAGCTGATTCAAATACATTAAATCTGAGTCATTTTATGGTCACACATTGTAAACAGTCAATGTGCAATTAATGTTAATTGATTTAGAATTTTGTCTGTAGTTTTACGACATAAACGACCTTAAAATGCTCCGTTTTCTGTTTTAAATCGAGTAGAAATGGTGTCATTTTAGTGTAAACGGCTGCAAAAGAACAAATAACCATAAACTATAGATGTTCTGTTTTGTCCGGTTATCAGTTATCCTGTCAGTGGTGCGTGTTGGCGTCTCTGTTCCGTGTTTTACATTCTGGCTGAACGTCGGTACAGGTGAGGCTGTCAGGTGTCTGACTGACAAAAGAGCTCTGCTGCTGTTTGCATGTGTGGATGCTGTGGAGGAGGTAAAAAAAAAAAAACAACAACAACAGAACAAGCTCGGAACACGTCGGTCCCGTGGGGTCGCGACGCCGCCTCTGATCTGCAGCAGCAGTCGAGGGTTGTGGGAATTTTGCAGAGCGAGGAGAAGAAAAGGAAAGAAAAGAAAGAAAAAAAGGCGAAGTGAAGACGTCAGGAGGAGGAAGCGCAGCAGGAATATAAATAGAAAGGCTCTGCTGCTATATATGGAGATGGCTGCTGGTCCTCGGGCCGGGCCGGGCCGGGCCGATCGATTGATTTATTGTCATTAGCAAAACAAAGAGAAAGAGGAGGAGGAGGAGGAGGAGGAGGAAGGTTTAAGTGACACCTTCTCTATGAAACCTTCACAGAAACAAAGTGCGTCCTGATGTTTCCACGTGTTCTGACTCTGCTTTGTTCTGGAGGTATCAGGCTCGGTCCAGGCCGCCCTGAAGCCTCCTAACGAGCGCTGTAACGAGCTAATAAGACGTGAAGCTGCTGAGCTGTGGACACCTGCCAGCTGAGCTCGTCTGCAGCCCCCCGGAGGCCCGACCCGTCAAACCGTCGGCTTCTCTGGATTCCTTCCCTCCACATCCCCGTCGTCCCACCAGAGCCGACGGTCCACGGCCGCGAGCACTCCGCCGACTGCCAAAGGCAAGTCGGTGCAACGCCGTCTCCCTTCCCCCTCCTCTCCTAACTCCTCTAACTCCTCTTTTTTCTCTCTGTTAAAGATACTTCCTGACTAAAGGCTGCTAATCCTTCATGTGCCGATAACAGCGAGAGGGAAAGAAAGCAGCACGCAGGAGGAATGTTTGGTGGGAAAGAGGTTGCGTAACAAGACGTTTACCTGCTTCGAAGTGAGTTTGATCAAGGAGCCCTCGTAGCCCTGAAACGAACACAAAGACAACGTCAGAACTGTGGAAAAACTAAAGCTAAAGTGCATCTAAATGCTCCTCTAATATTACAGCAAACACCAGCAACAACACGTCAGTCCTGTAAACTAAACTCTTGAGCAGTTAAATGATGATTCTACAGTAAAATATCACCCAATAATAAACTGTGTTCATACAGACTGGACAGATTGTTATATATTGAGGAGCAAGGGTGTAAAAAACAGTGAAATATAGTCAAAAACTGAAAAAAAAAGTTTAAATAAAAATGGTGAAAATAAAGGCTATCCTCTGTAAAAAAAAAAAACTACAGATGTAAATATACCAGTCACACACGACAAAGCAGCAAATTACTGTTGGTAAAAATACAGAAAATACATAATTTTTTTTACAGCTACCATGTAAATTAATACCTTTTTTCTATAACCAGAACAAAATTGTGAAAACAAGAAAAAATATAAAATAAAAATTTAGAAACACAGAATGTTCATAAAATGCAAAAAACTGTAAATTACATCATTTTCTGTTTTTAATATAGCAAAAACTAGTTGTTTGTTTTTTGCAGTCAACATGTGAATTAAGACTTTTTTCTGTAAGCAGAACACAATTGTGAAAATAATACAATA